GTGTTGTACTGCAGGGCAAAGAGAGACAGAGAGACAGAAAGAGCTGAGAGAAAAAGAGAGAGATAAATGAGACAGAGGGAGATCCGTCTCTTCCCCTGCACAACATGCACCCTGGCAGCAAAGCTTGCACCATTCCTTTTCCTGTTTGGCAAACTGGACTCGATGTCCTGACAGGCTGGAGTTTGTAGAATTTGTGTGCCTTATGTCATCTGATATTATGCAAAAAATAAAATAAAATAGAGCTGTTTACTATTCCTCAGATATCCTATATTTTTAATATAAAATATTTAATAATATATAAAATTATATTTCTAAATTGCATATAAAATGTATAAATTCAGTAGGAAAATCAACTTACAAGTTGCTCTTTAACCAGCTGCTTCTATGACATGGCCGAATGCAGGAATTCTAGTGTCTAATTTATACGGTGATGTGTGAATACCACTTTGAGTGGGCTGTGATATGTATCATTTAAACAGCACTATAGCACCCTGTGATTTATATCACAGAAACATCCTGCGATGAAAGCGGTGGTAACACAGACAACACTACGATGTGAGATACCAACATTTGATCAGAAGTGTGGAGGCTCTGAAATGTTTATTTGGAGTTTTGTGTGGGTGTGATATTTGAAAATCCCACTGCAAAAATGATTTGTGTTGTGCTTGTGAATCATTCCAAGCAGGCATTTTTATTCAAATACGCCTATTGAGGCAGTCATATTCAAATGCTAAAATAAATCTATCTTGATAACATAAAACAGCATGTAACCATCATGAACATGACAGTGAAAGAGATTTGGCTCCAGAAAAAAGAATCACAGGTGTTTTAATTTTTTAGGAATAATGTTAGGTCTGGGGTATGTTTATTGCATTAGCTGTGCCTGTTAATACAATTCCTATCTGAAGTACACTATCAAGTGATTAATACAGCATAGTCGGTTGTTATTTGCATGCATTGTAAAAGATGCAGAGGAATGGTACCATGCTAATCTCTCAAAAAAAGACAGGAATAATGACATTTTTCTGTGAAAAGGAAGACAGCTCTGCAGCAAATGGCAGTAAACCGGTGCATGCTACCAAATACTTATTTTCCTGCTATCCAGTTGAAATTGCAGAGCTGTTTCTCTTTTTGGCTTTCACTGTAAATTCATGTGCATAGATCAGAAGCCTATCTGGCCCTGGCTCTGTGGGCTCAGATTGTTGTCCAGGCCTGTCGATCTAATCCGGGCCACACTACTTGTTGTATGGGAAGAATAATGAGCAGATTCTTGGCTGATGCTGTGAGCATGCCAGAGGCAAATCTGCCCTCCATGTGTCTCTCCAAGCATGAACAGGGAGACCCCCAGAAGTTTCCCAAGTGCACAGAGTGATCGTGGACATATGGGAATATGATTACATACAGTCTGAGGTATGCTTGAATACAGTAAGAGGCTTTAACTGGTATATTGCTACATTATGGGGTTCTCTTGGGATGAGCATAAAATAAATGTTGTACCTTTGAAAGCTGAATCTAATACTAATGTTATGTATTCTGGCATATATTTGGTAATATTAAAAATGCCCATGAATTACCAAAATATTAAGAGTTGAAATGTTTATTCTAAATTCTAACCTATTGATTCCCCCAATATTGCATTGAAACAGCCTGGCATCGCCATATTAATTACATTTCCAAGGGGCATTATCAATGTTACTAAAAAGTCCTCTTGACTCAACTGGTTACAGATACAACCAACCAAAGCAGCCATAGATGGATTTAGCATAGCTGGTAAATTAAATTTACCAAATCCTGGTGGAGGTTAAGGTTGCAGGTGATGCAATTTACATTCCTTCTGATAGTTTCAAGTAATTTCCGCTGATGGCAGTTGGTGGTTGTAACACACCAAGAAACGTAACAACGCACCAGCCAAAAGGAATGTAAAAGGAGCACTGCTAGCTAGCAAACAGAATTGTTAACAAATCAGGTTTCAAAATATTTTTAATAATCCACTGCAAATGTTTTAGGAGGAAGAAATTATATTTACAAGCCCTCATGACTAAATGATAAATAATTTAGTGGTTTGGGTAGAAAAATTAAAAATAAACTAATTAACCCTGCGTAGATTTTTTGGCCACTTGGGAGCATTGCTGTACACAAGCTGTTAAGACAACATAGACATTGTAGCTACACTGGTCCCAAGAAATAATGGCCACGCATCATACAGATGTCTTTTCAAGATTTATTTTATCGCAACTCTCTCCTTCGTCAGCAAACACCGTGAAAACTACAAGAAAATAAAAGATATACAGCTTAAAACATTCATTTCACATTCACTTTAAGGCCTTTCAAGCTAGTGTCCATTGATAAACAGGCCCAAACACATTAACACAAGCGAAATGAAATGAAATCATACCAAATAACCACACATAAATATTGTCCACGTAAAGTACACCAACAAGTACTGTACACAAAGGTAAACAAATGAAAGGCAATTACCGTGTGCGCCTCTTGAACCAAGTACAGAATACGGTTATTTTGGGGCTTTATTTTGTTCCTCTGCATGCTCTGCTCTGCCTCCACATAGTCTCTTACCCATAATGCCATGGTTATGCCCTTATCTTAACTCTGTTCATGTGACCCATTTCCCATTATTCTCTGTTGTTTGTTGAAATAAACCTTACATAAAAGCACAACATTTTTAACAATATTTAAATAAAAGACATTTTTGTGAATGTTACCCCTTTTAACATCTTCACATGTTTTTCCTATTTTTAAATGGCTGTATGAACTCAAATATTCATGAACTTACACATACAAATACACAAAATAGACATTTCAATTAAACATGTCTTTGAGACAGCTACAGACATATTATCACCTCATAAAAAGCAGTTGCTTCAAGCAGATATTTCGGTACATTAACAGTCATTTAAATAAATTTCTGGCCACCTGATGATCAAAATTCTCTCTTTATCTGGCTTGGTTTGGTCTACTGAGAAAATATGTGGCTCTTTAGCTGCTTTATTGGTCATAATAAAAAACACACAATAAAAAAAAACAATGCTGACTCTCTTTGAGGTCCATGGACCTCAATCACAGAATGTTAACAAAACTGTCTGACCTTTGAAGACTTTGAAAGCGAATTTGCTTAAGTAGCTTCTTTTTAATATTGATGTTGTTTCACATAAACACATACTTTAGAATAGCTTTAGTTATTTATACAGTTTTAGAGATTTCTGTCTGTTTTCTTCTCATTAAAGTGGGCGGCAGTCAGCCGCAGTAAGGTGATGTCACAAACTTCTGTTATGTTACCAGATCATTGTCAATCACTGATCAAACCACACTGTCCTGATGGGGCAGATTACCTTAACTTTCAGTGTTTGCTTATTTAATTTTATAGAAGATTTGAATCCAAGTTTGCTTTAAGATACTGCATGGTGACGCCACCACACCTCAGTATAAACGCATAAATTATTTTAATGAATTTATTGAAAATTCAAATTCTGAATGGCTGCCTCACAAAATGTAATTACAGTAACAGCTTGTTCTTGAATAACCCCCCTAGATAGACACTGTAGATAGATAGAACATAGAAAGATTGAAGGGCTCTATATACCCTCACACATTTAATAAAATCAGCCACTCCCACAGTAAGATATGATGACAGGGCTGCGATCATGTGAATGTGGGAATATGTTTTGAATGCACTGTTGGGGAGCCTGGGGTTGGATTTGACGTGCGCTGGCTGTG